CCTTAGATGCATCAAGTTTGGTCCAAATAGAGCTTATAGTTACTTGGGAATAAAAATGTAGGTCAGATGCAGCATCCGATGCAAGTCTGGTAGTGTCCATCCCTAGAAACATCATCCATGCAAGTTTGGTTTAGCTAGGGTTTATAGTTACTTGGGAATGAAAATGAAGGTCAGATACAGCATCCGAAGCAAGTCTGGTAGTGTCCATCCTTAGATGCATCATCCATGCAAGTTTGGTCCAAATAGCGCTTATAGTGCCAGTGGAATGGGCCTGCTCCAAAAACATAAACCTGGTCACTCATCTGGAAAATGTAGGTCAGATCCAGCATCCGAAGCAAGTTTTGTAGTGTCCTTTCCTTAATGCATCATCCATGCAAGTTTGGTCCAGGTAGGGCTTATAGTTCCTTGGGAATAGACCTGCTCCAAAAACTTTAACCTGGTCACTCATCTGGAAAATGTAGGTCAGATCCAGCATCCGAAGCAAGTCTGTTAGTGCACATCCCTAGATGCATCATCCATGCAAGTTTGGTCCAGGTAGGGCTTATAGTTCTTTGGGAATAGACCTGCTCCAAAAACTTTAACCTGGTCACTCATCTGGAAATTGTAGGTCAGATCCAGCATCCGAAGCAAGTCTGGTAGTGTACATCCCTAGATGCATCATCCATGCAAGTTTGGTCTGGGTAGGGCTTATAATTCCTTGGGAATGAATCTGCTCCAAAAACTTTAACCTGTGTTGAGTCACGTTTTGTCCGCCGTCACATTATGTCCGCCGTCACGAAATGTCCGCCATTTTTCCAGAAAAATCGTCACGTTATGTCCGCCGTCACGAAATGTCCGCCTCTTTTTCGGAAAAATTGCCACACTATGTCCGCCGCCACGAAATGTCCGCCTCTTTTTCGGAAAAATCGTCACACTATGTCCGCCGCCACGAAATGACCGCCTTTCTCCCAAAAAAATAGAAATATTAGGTCCGCCGCCAAGAAATGTCCGCCTTTTCTCCCTAAAAAATCGTCAAACTATTTCCGCCGCCACGAAGTGTCCGCCGATCATCCAAAATTGTAACGTTATGTCCGCCCCTACAAAATGTCCGTCCAAGATTGAAAATAGTGTTTTATTTTTTCTTTTCGGTGTTTAATATATGTATCTCTAACCAAACGTCTAATAATGTATGTCATCAGAAATATCCACCAAGAAAAATTAATAGCAATGGTCTGTTCTTTGCTACAAATGATTTCATTGAACTACATTGTTTCGGTCAATTAATGGAGATATGTTTCATTTCTCTTGATTGTTTACGGTTTTGAGAATTTAATGGCATGGTGTCAGAAAAATTTAAGCCTTACCCTTTGTTTTGTTGCCAGTTTTTAATTGTAATAACAAAGAAAACATATTGTGAACGGCAGGAGGCGGTGGGTTATTTGATATTAAAAGTTTAAAGTAGCCTTGGTGCTCTGCGGAGTTTAAAAAATAAATTTAAAGTATTTTACATTGGCCGGGAATATTTATATATTTAGTGTTCAAAAGCTTAGCAAAATTGCAATATAAACTAGAGGCACTGTGAGCAATGAGCTCACTAAATGATACCCCCGCCTCCCATATGAATATAATGGCAGTGTCCATGTTTTGCTCTGGAAAATCAAAAAATAAACGTCAGATCAAAAAGTAAAATAGGAGGTACACAATGGCAATATGTAATTAAAATCTGTTAAAGTTTCATTAAATTTCCTTCAGTGGTATGAGAGGAGTTGCGGATAAGAGATGGGTACCCCAAAGCGTAACACACGGAGAGACGGACGGACGGAAATACCGATTTCTATATACCCTCCCACTTTTCAAGCGGGAGTATAATTAAAATTAAAATTGAGTAAATAATCGTGTCAATGTTGTATCTGACCGAATCCTGATTGACGAATTTTGAAGCGCAGAGAATATAAGAATTTTCGTTATATGTAAAATTTTAATTTCTCACAAATACGAAATTTATGCTGCAGCAGACAAGGATAAAGCATTTTTTATAGTGTGCCAAAATAAAGAGAAATGCAACTTTGCGGATCTGGATGGAATTGGGGGGGGGGGGGGGGGTCAAAACCCCCCTTGAGATATGTCTGAGAGAGAGAAAGAGATTCAAAATATTTGTTGTGCTTTAACTAAGTACCGGTAATTGTCTCGCAAAGGCTACTTTGAATTTATGTATGAAAAAAATCGGTTGTTCAAATAAAATACGCGCCTGCAATATTGCGTGCACTGTTTTAATGTGTAGATTTTTATATATATTTTATTAATAACAGATCAAGTAATGTCAGTTTGTTGCCTCATAACATGAACATTGTGGTTTGTCGCTTGAGTCTAACTAAAAGGTTTTGTGTAGATATAACGAAATATGACGAGTTTAAACAGAAGTTCGAGCAACTAACACTTGTGCCGAAATGTCCGGGAATTATGAAAAACTAAGTTATGCTTGTGTATTATATGCTTTATGTGTATTTTTATATAAGAGTACGTATTTCCTTTTCATTTACCGAGAAGTTCGGTAAAATAAAAGGGTAAATACGTTAAGTGCGACATTTCTACGTCTGTATTCATTGGTATCTTTTCGAATAATTTAATGGCCCTTAAAAGGGCCGTTTATTGTCAACACCTAGGAGCGACTCTTGATGGTCTTGCTTATTGAAAGCAAGAAGAGGACTGTTCCCGCCTCGTTGAAGTGGATCTCATCGGGAAGGTAATGTCTGGGAAATTTGACATCTATTCTGATGTAGGTTCGGCCAAGGATTTTCTTCATCTTATTGTTAACAGTTCTACGCCTTGCATCAAACTCCTCACGCTGCAAAGTAAATCGAAATTTTCCTCTAGAAACAATCTCTGAGAAGAAAATCTCGGGTTGTCTGCAGCTGGGACTCAAGACTTTAATTTGGTCGAAAAGGCTCGTCAGACAGTCAATGACTGTTGACGCCTCGGCTCCACTGGAAATGCCGTTTCCCCCTAAGCACACTACAACGATGTCCGGGTTGTACCTCAACATCTTGGAGATGATATTTGGACAAGGCTGAGAAGCTGTCATCCCACCAACTCCAAACCACCCGACTTCAAATGGCATGACAAAGTCTGTAAAGCTTGAAGCTCGCTTCACGTAGGAGGAACCGAATATGGCGACTCTCATGGTGGCTATAAAATAAAATCACAAATTTCACAGTTATAACAAACTCGAGGCAAATTATGTAATTAAATAATGATTACCTTTTTTGTCATCTATGATTAAAAAGCAGTTATCAAATTTAAAAAATTGCTATTATATATGATCTTAAAAAATGAACTTTTTGAAGTTATACTAATTTTGCTTTGAAATCAATTACCGTGTCGATCATAAATGGCTAATTGGTTATTAATTATGCCTAAAACAACCTCAACATGAAGTACGCTGGGAGTTCAAAATAACTGTTAAACTATATCATCATTACTGCTACTCCTAATTTAAATTTTGTTCGTACATCAATAAGACGATTAAATCTCATTATCGCTTCATACACGAATTCGTAATCGATGACGCAGAAACTGAGTCCTATATTTACATATATAGATTAATTACAATGTTGTCAAAGAAAGTTGGAAATCTATTTAATTCAGTTTGTTATCGAAAATTAAATACAATAGGACTTTCAAAAATTCCCGTGCGTGTAGATTTGAAAGACACAGCCCTCAGTAATGTGTCTTTAAGATAATAAAGTGTGGAGAAAACCTACCCAAATAACAATAAACCTTTTTTAAGTGATCAGGGAATACATCTCACATGCATGTCCATGTTTAAGGTGCAGACAAATTGGAGGTACATTGTAGCGATATATGTATTCTACGAAGAGGATACGAATAGGAATAATAATTTAACCCCCCCCCCCCCCCCCCAGCCCAATAAAAATGTTTTTAAAAACCGTAACGACAGCCACTACAAATGTATATCGTCTGATGAAACACGACGAATTATCATCACGTTGAGTTTCAAACAATACATAATAGATTGGATTTAATAAATGGTTTCAAACAAAGTTATCAATGTCTTGATTGTAGGGAATTCAGAGAGACAAATAGTTCGCTGTCTTGATAAATATAGCGTGTCCCAATATCAATAATTATCAGTAATTACAGAACTTGCAAAACGTCCATAGTTTGAAATGAAACTGGATTTTTTTTCATGATTTAAACATATTAAAAACATTCAGTGTACCTAAAAATAATACGAGCTTCAATATTAAACAACTTAAAATTAATGTTCATAGCATTTTGTTTGGAAAGGGGAGAAGTCTTGCTGAAAACAAATGTAAATTTTTACTTCGTTATGCAAGACCAAAAACAGCACTGCTTATCCGTGTTTGATCCCGAGATCAAAACGAATGAATAAAAAATAATAATATTACACGCACATTTCTAGAATATTTCTGACAATTTAATTTTGTGGAGGCTTTCAAAGTGTCCAGCCTTGTTTTTCAATCTAGATTTTTTAAAATTGTTGTGCATCGATCATATACCAAGTTTTTTAAAGTTAATACCAGTTAATATTGAATAAAAATCACGTGACTATTGTTAGTAGAGAAATATTGAAATAAGGGTTGTCGGAAGACTTATATATTATATTCTAGGAGAGTTCTGCCAGTAAAACTGTTGCCCAACTCTTGCCACGTGGAGGCATCTCCTGTTAAGAGTCTTTTTTTTTTTTTTTTTTAATAAATAAATATATTATAATCTATTTAAATAAATAAATAAATAGATATTTTTTTGTTTACATTTAACCTAGATTTGCGCGAATGTGGCTCCAACTGGAAACCAGCTCATAAGGAGACAGGTCGTACCACATTTTCCCTAATGATGTGTTTGGCGCGAATGGTGGCTCCAACTGGAAGCCTGATCAGAGAAAAAAGGCCATACCACCATATACTGACAGTGTTTGAAAATTAATAAATTAATAAGCACGATATTGAACGCGTATATACTAGGATATTTTTCACGTTTTATCCGTTACTTTTTAAATTTAAAATCGACAATATAATACCATCCGGCGATTGCTGTTGCCAGTATCTCGATGTAACCATTAATCCACCGGGAAGAAATCGGTCGCAATATATTCCGTAATTCCATCATTACTCCACTACCCGAACCCGATACACGGCCTAACTGACGAACAGACCAGTTGTGCCTTACGCCCTCTGCGAATACTGACCTACCTTCCAATAAAAACATGACATTTTCATTTAAGTATACTTTAGGACACAATTTATGAAGGGTGCCTAGCAAATGCTTGAAGTGTGTTGAAACCCTTATTAAAGTCAAAAACATGTTAAAATTTTTGTATATTACAAAGGATAAAATATGACGCTGAATGAAGTAAGGTAAATCAGTGAATTGCTTTTGGTTTACATTTTCTGTTTCCGGAAAAATTTGCTTACGAGCCCTGACATAATCACTTGGTGTAAACTTTTTAGGGGGTCGCACGTTAGACCTTAATCGGACAGGTGATAATACTGGTGGCTGTTTGTCTAAATTTGAATCGTTTATCCTATCTGTAATTGGAGATAAAGAAGGTGGAGATAAATAAAATGATGAGTTAAGACTTGGGGGAAATAACCTGTCTTTCTCTGTGGAGCTCAGATTGTTTGTGTCGGAGATTGCTGTTGGGGAAAAGCGTTGCAAAGTCGGCGTTTCCAATGCTGGCGGAACAGGAGAATCGATGTGGTCATTTGCAGTCTGAAATAATTCGTTGTCAGGAAAAGAAGCCGAAGGCCCAATGTTTACATGGCTGACCGGAGGAGATAACGAACTGTCGTTGGTGGATAGGTGTAGGTGGAGAATCGAATCACTAGAATAATCTGTTAGTTGAGGTTCAAGTTGAACTTCCTGTAACGAATAGTGAGAAAAATCATTACTGTGAACATTGTTATTATCTGTGTTGTTTTGGTTTGAGTTGAGATCCCTGTTTGGAATACACACTGTATTAACATTATGAAAATTAACTTCATTAATACAAATATCTGCCTGCGTGCCCGGTATTGGTTCTAACCTTATAAAATGAAACTCGAACTCATGGCCTAAATAAATATGTAAAAGGTTTTCCCTATTTTGACGATCAAAAGGCAAAATGTACCGTAAGTCTGACTGGGAGCTCGACACAATACCTACTGCGATATTAAATGCGTTCGCGATGGCTGTGATGCAGATGGGTCGCCCCATTCGGTACCCAGTATGCCCTCTAAATAGGTATCCCAGTCTAAATTAGGTACAAAGTGTGAAAAGCGGTCGCCTGCCGGTGTTTCAGGGTTCTCGGAGAGCCAGTTTACCACGATATCTCTAATATCTTGCTGATTAAGGTCGATTTGTAAATAATTAGAGAGCGATTCTGCAATCGAATGAAATAGACAGCTACCGTCTTTAGGAATATCCCCAACGGGAATTAAATTTCGTTCAAGCGCATTTCGAACCAAATCGTCATGGGCTGTATCGGTTCTCGAGAGGCTCGGTCCTTTAAGTTGGTTTACTAAATTATCAGAAAGATAGAAATCCGATATATGCGGGAAATTATGGGAAGGCAGTGAACAGTGAACTTTACTTTCGCGGCAACAAAATTTATTTAATTTGTGTACACAGTTTGGATCCGATTTTCGGGAGCATTTCTCATTGTTACACTCGCACAACGGATCAAGCCTTAATCGATGACGTTTTTGTCTTTTTAACAGTTCTTCGGAACGTGAAATTGCTGCTATGTTTTGTACATTTCTCCAACGCGACACCCCACTGGAAAACCTGATTTTGTAAGAGAACGCGTTGTGTTTTGTGCAAATGATTTTTCCCCTTTCGAACCGCGGCCTAGCTTTATTGTAATTTTTCCGAGTTTGGGATTTTACGAACACTTCGTCGCCCACACTATAGACACTAACTTGATGTTTTTTTGAAATGGTGCTTTATCATGGTTTTTTCGCGTTTTTTCGATGCCACTAGGGCTGCCTTGCGAATGGCGGACTGCTTTTTCAACTCTTTCGAAACATTATTTGAAACGGTTGGTCCAAGACGAGTAGACTTACGCACACGATTAGATTCCCGTCCGTGATATACGTAAAATGGAGAAGCCTTTAAAGAGGAGTGATACTCCTCATTGCGCAACATCGCGTATTTTGATAAATCTCGAACCCAGTTCGAATCGCTTGTTTTTAGTAGGTCGTACTTAAGCTTTGATTTCCAGGATTTATGAGACGATTCAATTTTACCTTGACTTTGCGGGTAATACGGTCGGCTTTTGATAATTTGACAACCCAAAACCTCGGTCAACCGGGTTACCGAACCATGGAATTCGCGACCATTATCACATTGTATGATTTTCGGCGGTCCTTCGCTTTCATAAATGGACTCCAGCGCGTCTGCGATTTCCGTGCTTTCTTTCGAGTTGAGCGGGCGAAGCCATAAGTAACGACTGAAAACGTCTAGAACCGACAAAATATATTTGTACTCTACACCGTTATAAAATTCCGTGTGTCGCGACATATCAACTAAGTCAGTTTGGTGGCGTTCTTGTATCGAAGTTGCACGAATCGGTTTAAGAGGAGCAACGTTATCGAAAATGGGATTGACGGACTGCCTTTCGGGAAGAGATTTAAGAGAGGTTTGAACCTTCCGATGTGTTACGCCGCTGAATACAGATTTTAAGCGATGTCGAATTTTTCGTGAACCAGCGCCCTTACTTTCCTCGAATGCCTGTTTTGTCGCGGAACTAATTTCACTTAATCTTAAAACCATTTTACCATCAACCAAAACACGTTTTTCTTGAGCTCCGGTCAATGGGTTCAGGCAATTGGCAACAGACAAAGGATGAATCTTTCTCCAGCGACGAATCATCCTTGCCGCATTTTTTTCTTCTAGTGTTGCCTTTCTTTCGTTGACAGTCCTTGTTCCTGAGATGATGTGTGAAAAAATAATAAAATCTTCATGTTAACGGTTAAATGGTGATACTGAGTCTACTAGTACGAGGGTTGTCCAAAAAGTTCGCCGGACTGGGCTGTGTAGTTTATGTATATAAAATGTATGTTTAGATGACGCGCGTAAATTTTTGTGCATTCTTTTGAATTTTTAAAATTAAATAGATTATAATTACTTAAAGATTGATGCAAGCTTTTGGAAGTGCGTTGCGCCTTAAAACAAAATGTAGTGTGGGTCCTAGAACACGTGAAGAAGTCAAAATCTAAATGTTTGACGTAATTATGAATTGTGGTGCCATATTTCTGCCCCCTACATGCAAGATAAATTATGTTAACATGCAACATGATTATGTAGACATGCAACATATTTATGTCAACGTGTTAGTTAAATATGTTTACATGCAAGTTACTTATTTTATAAAAATATCAAAATATGGGTAAAGAATGAATCCTCTTAACACGGCAATCTCACCCCTTTTTAAATGCAGAATTTTACCTTTTTAATTAAAACATTGTTATCTCGTAGCTAAAGTCTTCAAGTATAGTGAGCGCACGACTGTTTCAATTTCTTTCGAGAATTAAAATGACAAGTATAACTCTTTACATTGACCCTTTTTACTACAACTTGAAACATCGATGCGCTCATATAAAAAATGGGCTTGCAAAATGGAGGGGGTGGCCTAAAGTCTATGAGAAATAGATGTAAACAACGTACTCCTGCTATTTTAATCAGATAAAAACCCAATTACAGTGCAAGGAAGTGAAAATTGAAAATGAAATTTATAAACTTCAATGTTTGATGGAAAGATTGAGACAAAAATATTTAGAAAATTTTTAAACTTTTTTTATTGTAAATTATTGGGGGGGCCAAATTAGGACGTTTAAACGATTCATTCTTTCCCTACTAACGCTTGTATCTGACAATTAATTGCAATATGCAACGTAATTATGTAGACATGCGACTTATTTATGTCAACATGCAAGATAATTATGTCAATATGCGACTTATTTATGTTAACTTACAAGAAAATGCTGTCAACATGGAAATTATTTATGTTACGTGTTGACATAAATAAGTTGCATGTCTAAATAATTAAGTTGCATGTCGACATATTTAATATAACCTGCAGTTGAACATAATTAACTCGCACGTCAACATAGTTATCTCGCATGTCATCATAATTTATTTTGTAGAAATATGCCACCATAAATAGAAATTAGCTTAACGTCAGACTACCCCGTGCGCTCAATCTCCGATCTTTAAAACCCCGATTTTTACAAAAATATTAAGTTTCATGAAAAAATGAAATCATTCTGACCTGGTTTTCATGAGAAATATTTTAATATACAATAAATGCATATAGAACTATTTATTTTCACAAAAACGTCATAGTCCACGAACTGTTTGGACAACCCTCCTATTTCATGGAAAAAAACATACATGTATTACTTCACACATTATAAATTATTTTGGTACTTTGGTCACATTAATTTTGTTATCTGGGTCGTTATAGGTCATATGAAACATAGACATGAATACATTGAGTAATGTATCACGCGGTAAAAATAAAATATATTTTCAGTAGTATTTTTCTCGTTATATAGAATGTTATTATATGAAATTTTATGACGTAGGCGTACGTTATCTCAGTTCTTTAACCAATTTCCATAAAGCATCGAAAAATCGGCTAATTTAAAACAACTTGCTATCAGAACACTTGTGAGTTATTTAAATATGATACACTTCTTCTAAGGAAGAAATCCTTCAAAATCACCTGTCAGTTTTGAATACTTTTAATATTCCACAGAGCCAAAATGAATTTGAACTACCTTATATATATTGGATTCCGAAACTTCATAAGAATCCTTACAAACAAAGATACATTGCAGGTTCCAGTAAATGTTCAACCAAGCCTCTTTCGTTACTTCTCACTAAAATATTGACAGTAGTGAAGGAAAAACTTCAAGAGTACTGTACAACTATATATTCAAGAAGTGGTGTAAATCAGATGTGGATACTTAAAAACTCTAAAGAACTTTTGGACAATTTGAAATCACAAGACTTTACAAAAATCAACAGCATAAAAACTTACGACTTTTCAACTTTATACACAACAATTCCGCACGACAAATTAAAATCCAGGCTTTTTGATATCATTGACAGCTGCTTCTTCAACAAAAATGGAACTCGTAAGTTTACTTACCTCGTCATTGGTCATTTGAAAAATTATTTTGTTAAAACAGATTCTGATTGTACACATAAGTACTCTGAAGTTGACATCAAGAAGATGCTTGAGTTTCTGATTGACAATATCTATGTGGTTTTTGGAGACCAGGTATTCCAACAATCTATTGGAATTCCCATGGGTACAATTGCGCTCCGTTATTAGCAGACTTATTTTTATATTCATATGAAGCAGAATTTATGCAAAATCTTTTGCGTGAAAAGAAAAAAACACTTGCTGTGGCCTTCAACTCGACATTTAGATATATCGACGACGTATTGTCAATTAATAATGATAATTTCCATTCCTACGTCGACACGATATATCCTGGTGAGCTTGAGATAAAAGATACCACAGAGTCCAACACATCTGCTTCATACTTGGATATTTTACTTGAAAAAGACACAAATGGTAATCTAACAACCAAGCTATATGATAAACGTGATGACTTTAACTTTTCTATCGTCAACTTCCCTTACTTATGCAGCAATATACCTTCATCACCTGCATACGGAGTATTTATATCTCAGTTGATTCGAACGTGACTCAACAACGGACTTTTCTATGCGGCGGACATAATCTGACGATTTTTTATTTCGGAAGAAAGGCGACTCTTCTTGTCGGCGGACAATATTGCGTTTTGTTTTAGCATGTTTAGAAGGTATTTTGTAGCGGGGGACATAATATTACGATTTATTTGGAAGAAAGGCGGACATTTTGTAGCGGCGGACATAGTGTGACGATTTTCTTGAAAAAGAGGCGGACATTTCGTGACGGCGGACATAGTGTGACGATTTTTCTGAAAAAGAGGCGGACATTTCGTGACGGCGGACACAACGTGACGATTTTTCTGAAAAAGAGGCGGACATTTCGTGACGGCGGACAAAACGTGACGGCGGACAAAACGTGACTCAACAGTATTCTTGCCTCTCATTGGTTGATTTCCAAAAAGGAACGCAAATAATTATGTATAATCCGGTTTGGTATGGGGACACCCCCCCCCCCCCTTGACGACCAGCTGAATCATCTGTATCCATGCAATCCCCTCATTCTCATTCCTCGGGATTCATGGGAAATTCCAGATTTAATAAATGTACCTTTAACTTCAAACAGTAGCTCAACCTTACCTTTTTTTGGCTCTACTGGTCAGAGACCAGAAGAGCTTATGCGATAGTTATGCTTCCAGCGTCCGTCCGTCTGTCTGTAAAAAATTTTTCAAAACGCTACTTCTCCTACAATTTTAGTTTGATGATCCCATCTCTGATGTTTCGGAGGTCCGTGTTTGCTCTGCCCTTATTTTGTATATTTGTTTAATGGACGTTGAGATTGAATACTGTTCGTTATTTCCATATCCTTCTTTGATTTCAGTATTAAGGTAATTCCACACTCCTATGATGTCATAGGTTTTTGCAAAAACTGTAATTAGTTTAAATTCACATGTTATAGAAAAATATCTCTTGGAAGAATGCTTTACAATAGGTGTAATGATAAATATTGTTTAGTTAAAGAATTCAAAAAATGCATATTTTCTATATTTAATCAATTATTCAATCTTTTAATAATGTTTACAAGGGCAATAACTCCTTCTAAGGTCTCTTCATTCAGGCATTTGCTTTTCTGTAAAATAGTTTACCTGATATTCACAATTCAAAAGTATCTTTTAAATAGGAAGTACTTAGGAACACTCAGCATCAGAATTATGCATATTAACCAGTTTTTACATGTTTTTCTCAATAATTTTAACAAAAAATGTACAATTTTTTGATGTTGACATACACTTCTGTTTATTTATGTTTTGCATCTTAAATAATATGGTGACCTATACATTTTTTGCAATAAATGGAAAGTTTAAAGTATATTGAATGAAAATATATGCAGTTTTTGTACTTTGAACCTATAAAATTGTGAGTGTGGAAATTCCTTAATTGGCACACAAGTAAACTACACTAAGATTCATAGAATAGTGCATCGGTTTTTGATTTCGATGAACGGTGTTGCAATGGTCACTAAAAATAGAATTTTCTGTGAAATTCCATAAAAACGCTACTCCTTCTACAGTTTTGGTCTGATTACAGTATAACTTGGTACACAAGTAGACTACACTAAGATACATATAGTAGTGCATCGGTATTTGATTTCGATGAACTGTGTTGCCATGGTTACAAAAAATAGAATTTTCTGTGAAATTCCTTTCAAACACTACTCCTTCTACAGTTTTGGTCTGATTTCAAAATAAGTTGGCATACAAGTAGACTACACAAAGATACATAAAATAGTGCAATGGTTTTTTATAAGTACAAACCAGTATAGCTACAGTCTCGAAAGAGACTTCTGATTGAAATTGATTTCGATGAACGGTGTTGCCATGGTTAGTAAACTTGGAACTTTGATTTTACTGTTTCTGTATTTTGCGCTCTGTGTACATCGGCAACTAACATTGTTGGTTTGAACTGGATTGCTAGAGGTTTCCACATATTATTAATCCAAAACAACATAACTTGCTCGTCACACCATGCATTTTGTTGAAATTGAACCACAACGCGACTGTCATACTTCACTTTTTCACTGAACGGAATTCGCTGGCCTGTTCCCCTGAATATAACAAGCGGCTTAATGCGTTTAACTCCGTCCGAGAAAATACAACATTGTAATGTTGCCTGTCTGTAATCAAGTCTGGATTATTTTGTTCTGCACCATACTTTAGTAGCACCAGTTGTTTCATATGTTTTCCCCTTATTTAGATCAAACGGGAGTGGAAATTGTTCCATGTTGGCAACTAATTTAAGGCTACCATTAGGGTCCGTGCAGTCTCTGCTTGCATTTTTTTGGATAAATTTATGGAAACTGTAGAAGGCTTCAATTTTAGCGTGTGGTGGATTTTGAGCTCCACAGGTTGGTGCTCGATACGATATATTGTGCCGTTTTTAGCTCTACTGGTCAGAGACCGGAAGAGCTAATGCGATGGTAATGCGTCCGTCCGTCTGTCTGTCTGTAAACAATTTTTCAAAATGCTACTCCTCCTACAGTTTTGGTCTGATTTCAATATAACTTGGCACACAAGTAGACTACACTAAGATACATAATTCTGTGTATCGGTTATTGATTTCGATGAATGGTGTTGCCGTGGTTACTAAAAATAGAATTTTCTGTGAAATTCTTTCTAAATGCTACTCCTCCTACAGTTTTGGTCTGATTTCAATATAACTTGGCACACAACTAGAATACATAATTCTGTGTATCGGTTTTTGATTCTGATGAACGGTGTAGCCGTTGTTACTAAAAAAACAAATTTCTGTGAAATTCTTTCAAAATGCTACTCCTCCTACAGTTTTTGTCTGATTTCAATATAACTTGGCACACCACTAGACTACACTAAGATACATAATTTTGTGTATCGGTTTTTGATTTCGATAAACGGTGTTGCTGTGGTTACTAAAAATAGAAATTTCTGTTAAATACCCTAAAAAAATGCTATTCCAAATAACAGATTTAGTCTGGTTATGATATAATGTGGCATGCAAGTAGACTTCACTAAGATACATAATTCTGTGTATCGGTTTTTTATTTCGATAAACGGTGATGCTGTGGTTACTAAAAATAGAAATTTCTGTTAAATACCCTCAAAAATCTACTCCAAATAACAGTTTTAGTCTGGTTATAATATAATGTGGCATGCAAGTAGACTACACTAAGAACATAAAAAGACTTAATCAAGGATCATAATTCTATTTATTGCTGTTGAAAAGTTTCAATTTCTAAAGTACTTTTCTCTTCTTTTGCTATAAGTACAAACCAGTAGAGCTTCAGTCTCAACAGAGACTTCTGGTTAGATTTACCTTCATGTACAATTAGTCCAGCATCTTCTGTTGATAATGCAATTATCTCTCTCGTACTTGTGGATCCAATCTGTTGAAGTCTCTCATGGTCTGAAAATTGATCAAGAATTTTATGACTTTGTAATGCATAAAAAACCATATTTCAGATTTATTTACAAAAAAGTTTTTAGATTTAAAATCAACATTTTTTGAAGGTATCACCTTCTCCACAAAATATTTATGATCCTTAATTTTTTTTATAATTGCCCAGCAAACAGAATTTTCCATTACTCTTTGCTAGGGATCATCAGTTTCACCTGTTGTTCATTACATATAATACTATCCAATTTCTTTATTTTCAGTTATAATGTTCTTCAACTAAAGATATGGTAAATTAAATTTACATTTGAAAAGCATTCTGACAGTTAGTGTGCATTAGCAACATTCACAAGTTTTATCTGGTTCGAAATAAATTTGAAAATGGATGGACGGAGACAGACAAAGTAATGGACCGCCAGATGCAAACAAGGTGGAAACCTGTAGTCCCCTTACATCTCCAGTCGAGCGCTCTACCAACTGAGCTATCCGTCCTCCAGTGATCAAATCGGGATTACCGCCAGATACTAGTAGTGAAAATTCAGTTCAAGGTCATTAATTATTCATACCTCTAGCAGATCGTATAGACTCTTCTTTTAATGCTTCTAGTACCGAATGTTCTGCCAGCTTTTGAATCTCATCTCCAACTTCCTCACATCTTCTTCTTAATGTTTTTACATTAACTGATGGTAAGTTTAAGGTTGTAAGGAAGTTGTTGACTTGGGTGGGTCCTATCCCAATATGATACATTGCTGAAGTATAAAACAGAAGTAACATAAATGATACTGTTTTAAATGGATTTCAACTAATTAATCATTCTGATTTTTACAATTTATTCATGCTTGCCATCCAATTTTTTTTAAATTCAAAAGATATTATTATTATAGAATTTTCTTTTAAAGTCATATACGCTATATGAACGCCGAATTTTGTGTGAAACAAAATGATAAATGATTTAAAGCACATGAAGTGTAATAAAAAATAATACTTTCCACAAAAATGTACTATAGATGTCGTTGTAATAACAAAACAATTAAACAATATCTAGGAATTCAGTATTCAGGCTTTTCATGAATATTGATAAAAGAAGTGCGTAAACAGAAGGCCTATATATAGTAACACATGTCCACGGGAAATCACAGACAACGAGGTATGTTGCATTTTGACAACAATTATTGATATATGGTTAATATGCATTATAATAGAAAATATGGATGGTACTAAAAGCACTAAAAAATGAGCACCATTAAATAAGACGCTTGTCATCCGTGTCAAAAGTGAGTGGTATTTCAAACGGCCTACCTTGTTTTCTTTACGCCACGTGTGTTTATAAATTTAAAGAAGCGACGGCGTCACTTGATGGGTTTATTTAAAAATAGCTATTTTTCTTTCCTTGCATGATAATTAATAATCATAATTTGATAACTTTGTAACGCGTTTAATTTTTATGGTGTTATTTACAATATTTTCGTAAATTTTATTGATAAACAAATTATATCAATTTCCAATCGTATTTTAACTGGCGCAAGTTACAGCGTGTATACTTTTAATGTTTCAATTTACTGTGATCAAAATTCACAACATGTTTCCAAACATAGACATAGAGATCCAAAATGTGTGGACCTAGGGTCAGGGGTTTATGTCACAGTGTTAGGGGCACTACTGATTAGTTAGAAAGCATTTCTGTTCCCCTACCCTGTGTATGGGTATTCAGTAACCAAGCTAAGCAACTGCTAAGTGTATTGTTATGATGATCAATGGTGCCTCTTTCAAAATTGTGAATGTCATATAGCATCTAGCTTAAAACATGAATTAAATTCAATAACTGGAAAGTTGTTGCATAATGCTCAGGTGACCTATAAGGCCCGTGGGCCTTTTGTTACATGATACATGTAAATAGGTTAAAAAAATCTAAGAGAGATACATTTGTTGCAGAGCCTGAGGTGCTGTAAACCAACTTTTATTCGCGGCAACTTTATTTCACGATATACTAGGGAAAAAATAGTTCGCGACCTCTAATTTTCGCATCCCGTGGGGATCCGGGTTAGAATAGGTCCGGTTAGTATACCCCTTGCTTGTCCTAAAAGCCGACTAAATGGGGCGGTCCTTCGGATGAGACCGTATAAACCGAGGCCCCCTGGCACGGCAGGTATGGCACGATAAAGATCCCTCCCTGCTCAAAGGCCCTGAGTTCCCAGCATAGGCCAAAATTTGCAGCCCTTCACCGGCAATGGTGACGTCTCCGTATCAGTGAAATATTCTGGAGAGGGACGTTACACAGTATACAATTAATCAATCAATCTAATTTTCTCAATCAAGCCTTTATGCATCTGTTTTTCGTAAACAAATATACTTTTAGGACAGGTTCATGGGGAGAAATATATTCACAATGACAAGGCTCTCGCGAAGTTCGGGACAGTTTCTCACACACGAATAAAAGTTAGTTAATAGTATTCATTGTTTTATAAAAAGGATATTGTTATTACATGTATAACAATTTTGTTATTATACATGTATAACAATTTTGTTATTATACATGTATAACAATTTTGTTATTATACATGCATACATGTAGCAAAACCTTAACCATTCAGCTTATTTTTGCTTCTCTTGCATTTCTTTAATGCAAATATAATCTCGTTAATTTGTAAAATACATGTTTTAAAAAGAGTGACGAAGTTATAATGAAC